TATTATTAGTTTAGTTTTTCCTATGGACATATAATAGTTTATCATCTCCTGTTAATGCACTTTTGAGATGTATCTGGTTGGGGCTACTATGAATAAGATTACTCTGAGATATTTGGTATAAATCTTCTTGCACATATCTGTTTATATTTCTCTTGAGTAAATATCTCTGAGTGACATTGATATTTATAGGGTAGATTCACATGTAATTTTACTGGAAACTATACCAATTTTTAATGTGATTGAACCACTGTGTACTCTCTTTACAAATGTTTGAGAGTGGAAGCTTTAAGTGTACTTAATTATTTCTTTTCTTCTTACACAAGAAATTTTAGACTTATAACTCACTGATTTTTAGTATATTACATTTAAAAAGCAGAATGAACTTCAAAGAAATCATACTGTAGACTGAGTGTGTAGCTTGACCATGGAGCACTTGTCTAGCATGTGTGTGGTCCTTAGTTCCGTTCCCAGTATCACAAACAAAAGAATAAACTCTAGTCTAAATTTGTTTCACTCCATGTGTTAGGTGTGATTCTGTAGAGGAAAATGGTTAATATTCACTTTTTCATTCCTGGGGAAAAGTACTGACATACACAATTTAAAGAAGGAAAAGTTTATTTTGGATTGCGATTTCAGAGGTTTCAGTGCATAATTAATTATCTGGCTCCAAGGCAGAAATGTCATGACAGAAGGACCTCGAAGAAGAAAAGTGCTAAAACCATGCCAGTCAGGAGGGAGGGATGAAGAAAGAGAGACAGAAACAGAAACAGAGAAGGAGTAGGAGGAGGATGAGCACTGGAAGAGGAGAAGAAGAAAGAGAAAGAAAAGGAAAAGGAGGAAGAGATCATAAAAAGGAGAGAGAAAGGAGGAGAAAAGAATAAGCCGAGAGAGTGGGAGTGTAAGACTATATCCCTCCAAGTTGTGCTCTATCCCCACTCAGCCCACCTCCCAGCACCACATTCAGCTATGAACTCATCAGTAGATTAATCCCTTGTTTCAGTCACCCTCTGAATGCCCAGTCTCTAAATCCATGAGACTACTGGGTAATATTTTAGAGCTAAAGCATAACACTTTTGTATTATTTAGTGTATTTTATATGAGCTTTATTTCTGGTGTATAAAGAACTCTGTGGAACTAATTTGTAGTTCTATGTAGGTGTCTGTATATGTGGAGTTAAAAACCTTGTATTCTGAGAGACTAGGAACCAGTGCACACCATAGTACTCTCTACTCACTCCTGGTGGAGAAAATTCAGAAGACAATTTTGTATTTCATTCCTGGTACTTTTGCAGGAATGTCTCTGTTTTCTTACATGGTTCATCAGGTAAAGCTGCTGAAGTTATTTTGTCATTATTTCACAATTTATAGTAATTTACTTAGACTCAGGAATGTTTAATTTCTAAACTTATATTTATTTCTTAAATTTATAAAGTCCATTGTTTTTAATAAAATATTTTCTTTTATCAGCATTTTCTTCTACTAAGTTCAGAGAAGTGCAACTAATTACACATATTTATTTTAATAAAATGTTAGATTAGGAATAAAGGCATAGATAAAGAGAATTATAATTGAGGGTTTTTTTCTGTAATTGCTACAGGAAAATTAACATATACAAGCACATGGGTACATAATGATTTTGAGGAAGAATTATAGTCACACACTTAAAACATTATTTTTATGTATACTTTGATATTCTCCGTGTTATTTCACTCAATTCTTGAGAGCCCAAGTATACTCTTTTAACCCAAGAATACATATTATTGAAAAGCCATGGACTATTTTAATGTTCTTATGAAATTAGATAACCCATTATTTGAAATTTTCTCAATTACAAAACTAAAACAGTGTTATTTTAGTGGTACAATTTTAAGACTATTTATATTCAAAGGAATATACACCACAGCTTTTCAAAGCAGTGGTCAGCTTTAGGGGATAATGATGAGCCATCAATAGTAACAATTAGGACAATCGAGGACAGCATGTCTACACAGACCCTTAAAGAGAGTTTCAATAATGGTGTATGGTGACTTATTTAAATACTAACAGGATACAAAATCAATATCTTTCTAAATATCAAAATGAAGTAGAAAAACAAATCAAAAAATTTCTGTTCATAATAGTTATTAAAAATGCAGAGGCGTCAGTCTAATCAAGGAAGTAAAAAATGTCTACAGTAAAAATTACAGAATAGTGAGGAAATAAATTGAACTAGACATTAAACTATGGACAGATCTCTGATGCTCATGGATAGCAGAATTAACATTATTTCAATGGCTATATTTCCAAAACAACTACCGATTCAGTTCAGTCGCTGTCAAAGTTAGGATGACACACTTCACAAGATTAAACAGTCATAAATTTCATATGGAAATACAAGACACAGATTATCAAGAATATTTTAAGCCAAAGGAGAAAAGCTGAAGATATCACAATATCACATTTCAAAGGACACTATAACGATGTAGTAACAAAAATAGCACGGTACCGGACACGTAGACCAACAGGATAGAATAGAAGACAAAGAAACCAATCCACACAACTAGCTTAGCAGTCTGAATCTTGACAAAAGTGTTTAAAACTTTAAAGAAAAAAACCCCTTTTTTACAAATTATGCAGAAAGCAAGCTAGATCCGTCTCTTCACCCAGTACAAAAATTAGTTTAAGGTGTAACAAAGGCCTAGTTATAAAACCTGAAAAGTTTAAACTAGCTGCAATAAAACATGGGCCCAATGAAGCACTTCCTCAATATGCTTGCAATGGTACAGAAAATAATAGCAAATATCAACAATGGGACTACATGAAATAAAAATGTTTTTTCACAGAAAAAGAAAAAAAAAACAGAGTAAAGCAACAACCTGCAGGTGAATGAACATGTTTGCCAGCTATTTTTCAAATAGAGGATTAATATCTAGAATATATAATGAAATAAAAGGCACCAAAATCAAATAATCCCATAAGTTAATGGGCAAATGAATTGAATAGGCACTTCTCAAAAGAAAAAGAAAAATGGCATATAATTATATGAAAAAAATTTCAACATCTTTATCCATCATTGAAATGAAAATCAAAACTGTAGTGATAGTCCATCTCACTACTGTCAGAATAGCTATCACAAAGTACAGAAAAAATAAATTACAAAGAAGGATATGGGGGTGCGGTATAGAATTCTTCTATACTGCTAGTGGAAATGCAAATTAAGACAATCAGTATGGAATCAATATGGATGTTCCCCACTAAAGCATAGACAAAACTACCAGATTTTTTAGTTATACCACTCACTCCTTGGTATTTACTCAAATGAATTAATGTCAGCATAATATAGGGATACATGCTTAGCAACATTTATTGCAACACGATTTTCAACAATCAAATTGGAGCCAGCTTTAGCACCCATCATTAGATGAAAGGATAAAGAAAATTTGATATCAATCCATCTGTCTATTTCACTTATCTATCTCTATCTATCCATCTATCTGTCTCTATCTGTCTGTCTGCCTATTATCCATCTATCTATACTGGTTTGTTATTCAGCAATAAGGGGGAATCACATTGTATAAGTTACAGGAAAATGGATGCAAATGGAAATCATCATGTTAAGCAAAATAAGCCCGACACAGGGAAAAAACAAAACAAAACAAAACAACAAAAAAAAACAACAACAACAAAGAAAACATGCCCTTCTTGTTTTTCTTAATGTGTGGTCTAAAATAGATGACATCAATGTGGAAAGGAAACTATTATTACATAACGGGAAAACAATAAGGGTAAGAGAGAAGTGAATTCAAGGAAGAGTAATGAGGAGATGAAAATTATCAAAATGTATGCATGTATTACTATACTACATAGAAGCACAGTATTTTGTAAAATTAATAAGCACTAATTAAAATATGTTTAAAAATAAAAAAAATACTAGTAGCTTTAATTTTGTTGCAATATCCATAAGCTCTAAAGGAGAAAAATCTAAACGTTTCATTCTAGATTTGTAGGAGTTTTTGTGTTTTGCTTTGTTTTGTTTTTTGGAACTGGGGTTCGAACTCACAACCTCGCGCTTACCAGGCAGGCACTTACATGACTGAGATAAACCTCTCACCCTTCATCTATTATTTCTTATATAACACACACATTCAATAGGAAATAGAGAAGCCATACACAGCATTTATCTGGAAAATTTTTGGATGGAATGTAGTTACATGCCTGATACAAGGAGAAGCAAATTGTAGAAGGAAAAATGTAATAGCTGAATGAAAGAAAAATATTACTAACATATTTTATTGTGACATCTACTAGCACTCCTGATCTTAGACTCAAGTAAGCGTACAGACTCCAACACTATGATAGCCCGCTATAACACTACTTCATTCAAAGAGATGTAGTACAGAAGTCATTGCCCTGATACTTGGCAGCAGCTAGCACTCATTATGTGGTTCTCTGAAAGCTCTGTGCAACAGTCCACAGTGCGGTCCAGGAACTGTGCTGTTTGCCCCTCATGCTGCTTTGGCCCTCCCTTCCATGGGAGCACCTTAGTTGAGAAGGACCATCATTTATATTGGGTGAGTCTAGAAGCCCTTCTACCCTTGAAGGTTCCTAGATACAGGAACTAGTATTTTTTTTTTTTTTTAATCAGCTCTAAAAGCATTGCTCTCAGTTCTCCACAAGGAATACTTTTCTTCACAAGAGTTGCTGCACATGGATAAAGCCAGTTTTATGGTTTTCAGTCAGATAATAATTCTCCCAATCCAAATGCAATCTACCAATGAAAGTTCATTTTTACCCTAAGTACCATTACTTAACAACATAGTTAACACGCAGCCTTATGCAGTTACAAAAGAAACAGTGCTGAAAATTATAGAAAGGTCAAATTCTCGTGCAAAAATTGTAACATAGTGGTAACCTATAACCTACATCTTGTTTCATCCACAAAAATGAAATATGTAATTAGTTGAATTTATGAATTTTAGATATGAATATTATATAATTATCTATTGCACTTATTTTTTCTAGAGCTAATGTACACAGTTGAACTTGCTGGAGGGCTTGGTGCTATTCTTTTACTGCTTGTTTGTTTGGTGACCATCTATAAGTGTTACAAGATAGAAATCATGCTCTTCTACAGGAATCATTTTGGAGCTGAGGAGCTGGATGGAGGTAAGATGATTTTCATTTTTTATTATTATTCCTGAATAGTCTTATAATTGTTCATGTCATTTTTTTTTCTGTGGAAAGAAATGTTATCTGCATAAATCCTTGCAGCAAATTTCTTTCTTTCTTTCTTTTCTTTTTCTTTCTTGGTACTGGGAATTGAACTCATGACCTCATGCTCCACAGACAGTGACTGTGCCACTGAGCTAAATGTTTCGCCCCTGCAGCAACGCTTTCAATGTTCAATTTGTAAATTCTTATTTTGTATGGAAGTTTGTATCTTTTGCTTTGAAGCAAGCAGATGTTTTCTTCTGAAGGTTGTAAAGCAACACCTATTATTTTTAGAATTTATTCCAAACAGCACTTACAAATTACAAACACTGATTGCACTGCTGTCAGAGTGTTCATTTTCTCTTACCTTGTAATCATTACTGAAAGGCCAGCTTACTTTTCTATAGGTAAGGAGTGTCTCTTTTAATTGTGTTCCCTAGCCAAGTAGTTTGAAGTGAATCTCAATTTGTTCTTGCTTAGACAGATCAGTTATAATAAACTGTATGGGAACTTTTAGCATTCATTCCAACAATCTCTTCAATTTTGTTGTTTTAGCTATATTTAGACAGGCTAATTTTCATTCTAAGTGTGAACCAGCACCTAAAACATTGTGCAAACACATCATTTTCATAATAATACATTTTGCTCAAATTTCATGAGTAAATATTGTTTCCATAGAACTCATAATTATTCATTGCTTCTGGTCAGCCAAGAATATGTGTACATTCTAAGAAAAATTTGGGATCATTATATGTCAGCTGCTTAAACTGCCCATGGAAGGCTTGAGAGCTTAATTTTTCTTTTCAGTCATTTGGAGACTATAAGGTAAACTTGCATTATAGGAAGCATATTCAAACTGATAATGAGTAATGAAAATGATAAAGATTTTTTCCTGGTATTTTAACGCATTTTCATAACTGTCAGTTTTGCACTAAATAATACAAAAGAAAATGAAGCAATTTGCCGATGTTGCCTCGTTTCTATGGTTGTCTGGAATAAATCCATAGGCTGAACAGTAAATACTCAGGCTGAAGATGAGCGCTAGTTTGTTGGCATCACTTTCCCACTAAGTTGAGGTCTGGGCTACAGCAAAACTGTCATTTTGTTTGTGTGTCTGTTTTAAGTGATGATTTTCCTAATTGTTCTTAGTTTCCAACTTTCTTGCCTATCCATAAAATTATTATCCTTCTGTGCTACTGCTTCAAAAAGATGTGAGAAAATTGTCAATGTCAGAGCTATCATTGGATGAGCATACCAAGCAGAGTGCTAGACATTCTAAAATCATCCTTGCTAAGCTTCCCAAAAATTCTCAGGTCAATATTATAATCTCACTTTTACTTATAAAGCAACTAAGGCTCCCAGAGGTTAAGTAAATTGCTCAAGAAGATAATACAAGAATTACTGTAAGTGGCCAAGGTGGGATTTGAAAATATATTTACTTCCAAATCTTTTATTTTATAAAATACTGAGAACCTATAATTTTTCTCTTTTAAAACTCAATTATGTTCAGTTTAACGGTCTGCCATTGTTCGTGCAATTAGCATGGTAGACAATATTTGAAAAGCATGTTACCTAAACGAGTCTTACTTTATCTCTTAACATTGTTTTGAATGTTTATTTTGTGTTCTGAATGATTTTACCCAAACCTTCAACTTTCAAAGTAAGTTATAATTTTCTGAAAATAGCAAATGATGGAATATAATGAAAAAATACAAAACAAATGCAGTTGAACTGTCAGTGAAGTTTCTTTAGGGGATGCTATTAATTATAAACACTTCAGTGAATTACTTGGATAAATCTAATGGGTTTCATTGCTATTCTGAATTTGCTGGGTCTGCAGCCTTTCTAAAGTGTTTTAAATAAGAAAATAAAGCAGACAAAAACTAACAAATAATATTCTAACAAATGAGAAGGTTCTCTCAGAAAGCTAATTTAATTAATAAGGGCCGTAGGATTTATTAGCACCCTGTCCCTAGAGGCATCTTGAACACAAGCAGGGATCTAGTTATTAGGGCTTTCCATGAGATGTGACTGTGAATGCATTAGCCCCAAAGAAAACAAAGATAACGAACTTAATTATCATCTGGATAAGGTTAATGTATAAATAATTTCTTTAAAAATGATTTTAAAAAAGCTGCTGAGGCATTGATTCTTCAAATAGTTTTATGAGAAGGAATTCTTATCACACGTAGAATCACATGTATTCTTTCCTTATATGAAAGGAGTCTAACTTCTGCGGAAACTGGCCAGGAGCCCACCCTTAAATCCTTTTTGATTCTGAATTTCACCTGACTTTGAAGACTTCCAAATACATTGCTTCCCAGAACTATACAGAAGTAATGACAGTACAGTAGCAAGTTTAAAACTTACATCTTAACAAAAGTGATAGGCACATACATTTCAACTTTCATTCTTTAGTATTCTACAAACATCAAACTTGCCTTTCAAGTTCTCATTTCTCCTGATGTCAAAACATAATTCTAACCATGCTACTCTAATAGAATTGTTACTTCTAGTTTAAAATATGGCTTATTTAGGAGAGTCTTGCTCTTTTTTTAAATTAAGAAATTTGTGTACACATCACTGCATTTCTTTCTTGGTTTGTTCACATTTCTGCTTGACCCTCTTCTATATGAGTTTATATGATTTTATTGTCCTTGGATTCATATTTTACCCCTTATCTCCCAATGCACAGCTTTCAGCTTTTTGGATCACAGTTACTATTCAATTTTAATTGCATTTATGAGCACATAATTTCTAACATTAAATGTTCTTTTCCCAGTTCTTTTCTTAGTAGACTTTTTCTAGTTACTTATTCTTTATTTCTATCAAGATAACTCCCTCCAAAAATAGCTTTTGTATCACCTGCTCCCCATACTCATTCTTCACTGTTGTCAATTTTATGACTTAGCGTTTTGTGTCACCTCTTATTTCATTGGCCATACGTTCTCCTTACCTGCTATATCCAACTAGTCACCAGAATCATTCAATGTACCCCTTGAATACCCACTTTATTCTTTCATTTCTATTGCTTTATCTACACTTGCCACTCCACCTTCCTGCTTTCCATATTTTACCCCGCTGGTTTATCATTCAAGTTATAAAAGAATTAGTTTTCCAAGTGCAAAGTTGCTCTGTTTTTTGTAATACTCCAGCAATCAAAATATCTCCATTGTTCCTATCAAAGCAAGTTTAAGCTTCTTAGTTGACAAAAAAATTTGTGGTCAAAGGGTGGCCCAATTTAATTTTTGTTTTTACATTTTTTTTCTCTTTTTATCGGTTCTAGGGATTGAATTTACGACTGCCTGCTTGCAAGGCAGGTGCTTATGTCGCTGAGCTAAATCCCCAGCCCCTGCCCAATTTACTTTTACAGAACTGCTACACATATGGGCCATGAATACGTGATGTTATACTCAAAATGAAATGTTGGGCATTTGGAATACATGCATGCTCAGGGCTAATCAAAAGCAATGTAATTGTGCATAATTCTCAAGATCTTTGACTAAGTTACTAGGATTAAGAGAAGGTTAGCTACTCCCTACCATGTTGATTTCATAATAAAATGAAAGAAATCTTGGATAAATTCTGCCACATATAAGATTTATCCTTGTTAACTAGCAGTTGTAAATACATTGTGTTTGTGTGTGCATGTGTATACAGGCAAAAAAAGCTTTGTTAAGAAATTTCCCCTGAGAAAAATGCAAGATTATTTAATTGATAAGATTGGAATGCCTATTGAATGACGTCCTAGAATGTACTTCACAAAGACAAGCACTACTGTGGAATTAAGCCTGAAAGAATGTTCCCAGAATGCATAACACTGGCCCTGCTAGATATTTTAGGGTTGTATGTCTAAATTATGTTGAATAGTATATATCAAGATTGTATTCATCATGCAGAGACCATGTCAAAGAGCATGTACTTAGTAATAGCCAATAATTTTAGCAATGGCATCTTATTTCTAATATCCTTTGTGTTAATTGGTAAGGCATCTACATTTGATCAGAAACATAGTTTAAATGCATATAGAAGCTGTTTCTGGAGTGTTGCCTTATTTTAACTAAATACTAGCTGACCATCGTGATAAGGATAACCTACTGTCTCTGGAGCAAATATTACAATAGCATAAATACCATAATCTGAGTTAGACTAGTTAAAAAGAAAACACAAGCATCCAAACAACATCAGACTACTTTTCTCTTCCAAAAGATTGCCTGGAGCAATCTTTTCAGTTTTATTTAAAAGTGTGTTATGCTGCTTCACATTTCTTTTTCTCAGAATATGAAATGTTTTTTTGTTTTGTTTTGTTGTTTACTTTTCCCTCTGCCTGTGAGGTATTCCAGGCATTTTTAATCATAATGATAGCAGAGCAAGTTTATAAGAACATGATAATAACTAACAATTCTTATTTTAAAGGCAAAATGATCTTCCAGTACAATGTTGGAAGTTATTACAGATATTCAAAAAATGATTTAGAACAATCTTTTATAATCTCTATCCCACGCTCAAAATGTGAAACATCTGTTCTGCTTTAGGTATATGAAACAAATTGGTACCTGTGCAGCCTTAGACCATATAGTTTATTTCTTGTGCTCTTTCATTTACAAGGTCATTCTTTATTCATACATCCAAGAAATACTGTCCTCACATGTCAGTGAAAGACAGTTCCTCTGTAAATCATTGAGAAGCTGCTTAGGACTTGGTTTGGTGGGGGTTATTAAAAAGTTTGCTTAAACAGGAAGAGCTTAGAATGAGCTTTTCGGTTATAGAACAGACACATGTTTGGTTTGGGACATTGACTTGTTCAAAATCATAAACTTCCAAATGGTAAAAAATCAAGCCCTTTTTATTCCAAATATTGTGGTCCCTATATTATTCAGCTACATGTTACCCTCTTAAAACTCCTAATATCTATGTTGCCTGCTGCTCTCTTTGCAAGGGAAGGAAATTAGTAT